TTTTATTCATTGTGATTAAAGAAATCTTTCACACCATAGGAGTTGCCCTGAAGAAAACGTATATATAGTAATCTTTTATTCTCTCAGGAATAACGGGGCCAATTCAGCAAATGTTCGTTGATCTTTTAAAGTCCCACAGAATATTAAGGACTAATGTTATGAGCATTTACAATGAACCGTTAGGCTTTTTTTTTTACATTATTAACGTGTCTAAAATTCAGCTAAAGTTGAGGATGCTTTGAAATCGTATAGATGAAATATATTTATGAGTGAACATTACACTGGTTTGCATACTGTGTACATACTTCAAAGTGCCAGGATTTGTGAGTGCTATATTACAGTGCCATACACATTTATCCATGCCTGTATCTCTTTCTTATTTGCCTTAATGAATGAAAAGAGAGGCATGGAAGTTTTAAAAGAGTAATGCTACTACTTAACAGATGGTTATCCTGAATATGTCATTTTGCATGCTGTGCTCAAAGGTAACTTATTAAAGATGAAGCAAGTAACAAATAGATTTGCACATGGAAACCCAGTCTCCTTTTTCCTAGTGCAGGTTTGATAGTACAATTTAAAACCTTATTAAGTTTTTTTGGATTTTATAAACTGGCAAGATATTATTTTTAAGAGATACGTTCTGAGAGCAGCAGTCACTGGTCCATGACTGTTCCCTATCTGTATTTCCATTAAATAACTTTGGTATCATGGATGAGCAGACCCAGGGACCCACAGGCCCCCAGACAGTTCTACCATATAATAATTGTGTTGCAGTTTATGTAAGGTCCTGCAGGTAATGATGTGTGGCACAGCCAGGGGCAAATTATGTTATCCTACTATGTGTAATTCTTTACAGTGATTTTGTGTTCCTACACTATTATACTTAACTATGTCTTTAAGCTTGCTAAGCACAGCTAACCACATTCCTTAATAAAATAGAACTATTCTGTAGTGGAAAGTCTGATGCTGGCTCTAAAACCAGCCATATCTTACACAGTTGCTGTCTGTACCTTCTTGTTCAGGTGACTTTCGCACCCCCAAACCAACTTCTGTAGGCATCACATTTGTAGAGATGCCACAGGGAGAGGAAGTAAAGGGAAATCTCCCTAATGGGATCATAGATACCGTAGATAAATAAATAACCACATAAACTGAATACAGTTTATGTGGTTAATTTGTTTCCAAATGCTTGCATTGAGGGCTTGTTCACACCAGAAGTCGCTTTCAATCGCACAGCTGTTGGTGTGCGTGTGACCTGACAGTGCCAATGCGCTTGATCGAGCCACATCACACTGTTTATAATTTTGGGTTAGAACTTTATTGAAATGTCACAAGGGCCATTTCATTAAAGTGACATTAAAGTCACAAACTTTTTTCTCCCCCCCCCCATGCTGCTTTAAGGACTTACCCTAAATTATGCCTCTTGATCCAATCATCTTCTTCTTTCCAGTAGTTTTCAGGAGTCCCTCCAACGCTGGTACCGGTCTCTCATTCAGCGCAGACTCCTCCTGACCAACGGTGTCTGTCCGACGTGCACACTCCGCGCTGCGTGCATTCACCTCCACTGTGTCTCTCCTCTTCTCCCCGCCGAAGATCTCTACTGCGCATGCACCCGCTCTCACGCTCCTGTACGGCTGCTCAAGAAGCTTCAGATCTTCAGATGGGAGTGAGTGGCGGAGACACAGGTATGCTTTAACCTTTTCGGTAACTTTTTAATTTTTTAAAAATGTTTTTGCATATATCTACAGCTTGCTAGCAGTAGATATATGCAAAAACAAAAGAGAGTTTAATTCAACTTTCTACTTTTTCTAATTCTTTTAATTCTAAGTTCTGTGGGCTCACTACAGTGGAATGCAGTTGTACCGCATCTCACTACGGTGCGCTTAAAAACAAGTACTGCATGCCACACTTTTCCTAAGCACACACCACTGCAACTCAGTGGTGTGAACTGTTACCATCCATGACAAGGAAAATTGCCATGTCTTGCATTCAGGCAGCGCTAGAGAAAACGGCCATCCGGCCGAACGCTAGAGAGCTAGCCCTGAATCAACCACAGAACTAGCATAACACGTTGGCAGTGGCTAAGAGGAGTTTGTAAATTAGCTCCCTTTTGGTAGCTTGGATATTTGTTCTCCTAGTTTTGACCCCTGTGATTTTGACCCCTTTTCCACTCTTGTGGAACTCATGTTGAACTCTTGTTTCTCATGTTGTACTGTACCATCCAACCAAGACCTAACAAGGATAAGCAAATGCCTTTATATGGGCTGGAAAAGTGATGAGGTGGAGTGATTTGTTGCAGAAGGTGCTCCCCTCAATACATATTTAGTTCTTTGAATATTAATTGCTTGACCTACCCTATGAACCAGCCTTTCTCAACATAGCTTATTGCAAAGTAAGACTGACATTCAAAACAATGCTATGACTATTGTAGATCTGACTTACACACTTTTGATTTGTAATATCTGTTTTATTTTTGAATGCTTTGTTAGAAACATGCCATATACTAATATTGTAGAAAGCTATGATGAATCATCTAAGATAGAATAACATATATCAGTTTAGAAGGACTGAATGGATAATGTGGAACAATATTACTGAACAGAAAACAGTGTACATATGACCTATGCCCTTTTGGTTGACTTATACTGTTGTCATGTTTAATGGGTGCTGCCTGCCATATAATAAGAAAGTATGGGTTATATAACAGTGTGCTAAATGGCAAATATGCAGTAACTGACCTCATCCACCTTTGTGCATTCCGCCCAAATTATTTATTTGCTCCCAAATTACGCTGTTGCATTACGGCATGCAGATGCATGCTTTAAAATTGTTTATGTAATGTGTTTTCTATTCAATTCATGTCTATTATATTGTACTTGTCATGTATTTAGTGGCTTTCATAGATGGCATAAAAGTTCAACGATGGCTTTTCCTGCTGACTTTCTCATAAAGGCTTCATAAAATTCAACTGCAGCTATTTCAAACAAAGAGATAGACAGGAAAAGGGTTAGAGTTTCTGTTTTTCTGTCTGTTTGTAATTCCAACATGGCAGTTTTCCCTCACTTTCTCTCCCTCTGGACCCTGACAAGAAATGAAGTAAACAGGGACAGAAAGGCATATAACCTTTTTGTTGCTGTCTCTTTTCCTATTGCATAGATTTTCCATCACTTTCCGTACCTCCAATCCCTAAAATTATGTTGTATATAGGAAGTGAGGGAGAGTCTCCCCGCGGCCAAACAGTCAGCATTTAACAAAAGACTTACAGTAAGGAATCTGTGCCCACAAAATGTCAGTAGAGGGCAAAGAACTGGTCACCAGTATTGCCTTTGGTCTCCTTTCAGCTAATCTTATCACCATCACTGACTTACCATGCCTTATTGTGCACTGTGTCTCTGTGTGTAGGGGGCTATTTTGTTAGAGGAGCAGAGATTTTTTTCTTCATGTCGGAGCTGTCCCCTGAGGACTAGTGATCTGATGAAAATCCAACAAGCAGCAAGAGAACGTCACAAAGCAGGGATCCACAGAATAAATGTAGAAGTAGAAGCAGGGCGATGCATGCAGTGCAGATTCCACTCCACGAATCAGTTATGACATCATCAATTCCCAATCCCAATCTCATGATACTAGTAGTCAGAGGCACAGTGCCTTAGATGTCACACTGCAGATATACATCTATGAGGTTGTTGGTACAGGAGTGCCTAAGCACACTCACATACCAGGATGTTCACTGCTATTTTTCAGGAGAAATTCAAGGCAAAATGAACACTTTTCAGGCTACTGCTTTGGCACAATTAACATTTCTAGATGTTTCCAATAACAAATCAAATCTTTATTTTTTTAGCTCGGTCTGCTTTACATCCTAACAGACTTTCTAAAGCAGGGAATTCACACATAGATTATTTTTTTCAGCCTGCAGGCTGAATAAAGGAAATAAAAGAAATCTAACAGATTCCTCAATGCACACTAAACAGCATGGATGGACAACTCTTCCCTTCCAGGGTATTGTTTTGTGACAGCAGGGGTTAATCTATCTGAAAGTTAATCTACAGTGATTGCAGCGCACACACACACACACACACACACACACACACACACACACACACACACACAAAAACACTCTTTCCTAAACAAAAAGCTTTGGGTGGAGTTACATTTTGGGGCATGTTCATAATGCAGTGAATGTGACATTCATCAAACATTCAATGCGGGTGAATGAATCAGGTATTTATTTTTACTGTTGTAGAAATATACCTCCTTATTTCTAGGGCTTTGGATAAACTTTTTTTTTACCCAGATATTTTCCTGTTAAGTATTTCCCAGCTCTACACACCAATCACAGTATAGGGTGTTTATTGTTACTTACAGAAAAAGTAGTAGGAGGTGATCAGCATACCGTACTGAGAATATGGCAACTTTTACTAAGGATCCGATACAATCGTAGCTGATGCATTTTAGCTAAAATATTCAACAGATCCATTATTAATATGGAATCCTCAAAAAAAAATAACTTCAGTTCAATGTGCTTAATATACAGTACATCGTTCTGACGTTTTTACTCAGATTGGTGTTACTACAAGTGCGAGCTATCTATACTACTTTTTTAACAAGCCAGGGTAGCAGAAAGATTGAGATGCCCATGCATGGCTTTGTGATAGCTGCAGCTTCAGAGACGTGACAGAACCTTTGGATGACACTGTAGAAAGCCAATTACATTATACTGTCTTTTATTAGCATCTGCCTTCCTGTTTCTATGGCATTGGTTAGTCATACAATAATGTCCTTTCTCAAGATTTACACAGTACTTTTATAGTTCTGCTTTAATATACAGTATACCCTAGCTGTTTTCCCTTCTTCAGCAGGTGCCTATGAGCTTCAAAATGGCTAAAAGCTTGCTAAGAGTGCGTTCACATTATCATGTGGAAAACACCTTGCTGCATAAGTTTACACAAATAGAGTATCGGAAGGGAAAGTTTGTTTTTTCCTTGACATGCCTTTTCTAGATATTGACCAGTGGAACAAAGTGATAGAACAACTGGGAACACCGTGTCCAGAGTTTATGAAAAAGCTTCAACCAACAGTTCGGAATTATGTTGAAAATCGACCCAAATATGCTGGTCTCACGTTCCCCAAACTTTTCCCAGATTCTCTATTTCCAGCAGATTCAGAACATAATAAACTGAAAGGTAAGTTCTATAATATAATATTGGAAGATCATTTATTTATCTGAATTACAATAGTCATTTTCTTCACAAAATTGTGGAAACTACATTTTCCTTGTCTAAAATTATGTTTATGTGTTGACCATAAAGGTCTGTATTTTTAAACAATTTTCAGAGGATATCATCGTGCAAAACTCTAATTGTTCCTTCTGTGCGAATGGAGACAAAAATTAATGTTCTTAGTTTATTTTATTTTCAAGTCCAAAGTAATATTAGGAAAATACTGCAAAATGGCCACTTAGATGGAGCTGAGGAGCATAGGCAATAAATTCTTATTTCCGATAGTCCTCATTTCCATCTAGTGACCTTATTGGAGTAATTTCCTAATATTACATTTGACCTGAAAAGAAACTATGCTAAGACCATTCATTTTTGCCCTCCATTCTGATAGGACAAACAATTACAGAGTTTTGCAGGAGAAATGGCTATGTGAATTGATTATAAATACACCCCTAAATGCAAATGAAAAATTCCATACTGATGATTTTTACAAAATCAATTTTCAGAGAGCTCCATGGGCAGTCTGTTGAAAAATAAATATATATAAAACCTCTGCACTGACTTGTACTGTGACAACAAAAATCTGCCACTTGGGAGGATTGCAGTACAACTCAATAGGGAGAATTTGATCACAGCAATAAGTGAACAATAGTGGATGTTTTTGTCATGTGATCTGCTGATTTACCACATGTTGGTAGTTTTTTTTTCTCACAAAGGGCAGTGCTATGCTGCAACCTACAGCATATAGACTGTGATCACTTTAGATATCAGTTGTTTTGCATGTCTGAAAACTAGTGTCATATTAGTTGCCCTAGGTGTGACAACATACCATTGGTTTTTGCTCTATGCTGGTAAATGAATATATTTATTTTGAAGATTTTTTGGGAGGTTTGGACATGGTTACTTACTTACTTGTACAAATGGATTTGCCACAAGTTCCGACAGTTTATGTTCAAGTAGCCTGTCTGTGCAAATCCAATCATTCAGTTCTCACGTAGTTTTATCATGTAAGCATATATTGGGCAGAGTTTGATCTACTGTGAAGTGCCAATGTGATTTTTGCAATAGAAATTAAAGTGACTAACTTTAGGCATTCAATCTTAAAGATGCATTCACATTACTTCACTATTAACAAAAATTAGGGCTGTTACTGATTACAATTTTCGTGTTGGATTAATCGAAGTTTTTTTTTATCAATTAATTTCAATTAATTAAAACGCACATACAGATCCAACTACATTGGCCTATACACATACAGCACAGCAATGAAGTAATAAAATGAACTAGGATCACACTAATCCAGCACGTTATTAATCTCACGTGCCCCACTCAATATGGCCGCCGCTTGAGTGGGGCAACTCAGAATAGTAACGTGCTGGATTAGTGTGATCCTAGTTCATTTTATTGCTTCATTGCTGTGCTGTATGTGTATAGGCCAATGCCTTGGAGTTTGGTCCACACTTGTGGGCGCACTGACCAGCTGGGAAGATTGTAGAAGAAAGGTTTGATGTCAATTGGCAGGCTGCACAGTGATGTTTCCTTTACATGTAAGTATAACCTATTTAAAAATTGATAGGGCAGAACAAGTTTCTTGGGCAAACTCACCGGCCCAAGTGGCTCCGTCGGCTAACGAAGGGAAGGGGGAAGGAATCCGGTGACGTCACGGACATCGAAGTCACCGGACTCCACCCCCCTTCCCTTTGTTAGCCGTCACGGACATCGACGTCACCGGTGACATCGATGTCTGTGACGTCACCGGATCTCCGACGGCGGAGAGGTGAGTGTTTTCATTAGCGATTAAAAGCATTTTAATAGATCAAAAATGTTAACGATTAATCGAGGAATTAATTGTTAATTTCCGCAGCCCTAACAAAATGTATCTTATTTGGGTATCACTTGGCTGTAGATCCTCAAATCATCTCTGATTTGGTGCTGACACTGTCCTTCCTTCTGGAGGGTGGATACTTTTGTTCCCCGTGCTCGATCCTAAGTTTAATGTCACTTTACGTTTCCAGTAGTGTACAGGCCCACAAAAGTGGAGAGGTTGGTGGTAAAAAAATGCAGCACTGGAACATTTTTGTGAGGAAAACTCTGAAAAAAAATATAGAAGGTGACTTGGCCTGGTGTGGGACTACCACATTTATTTGAGAACGTATGTAATTGAGACTTCTGTTTCTATTAAAATGTTAGAACTTAGTTTTTATTAGGTACTCTAGAAGGGATGAGTGCTGCTAAAGTTTGTAGTGTAAATGCAATTCTTGAGGCTCGTTTTAGCAACCTATAAAAAACATTTGTATCTGGTATTAGATTTGCTTTAAAACTGATTATATTTAGATTGAAGTACTATTCATGGCATCCACTTGTCATTGATGCACCAACAATGGGATATTGGATAGTTGGGCAGAAATAGAAGTCCTAGTAATAGTTAGGGTCCTAGTAATCATACGTGCAGACATTTAGACACTGTAGCTACTCTAATGAGCTGTGAACACCAAACAGTATCAGTAAAGACTGCAAGAATGGTTTATGCATAGTTATTCCTATACTCCAACATCCTGGACCAAAAAAAGCAATACAGTGTTAAAACAAACCTATGAGAATGGAAATGTATAAATTGCCATTTCTGGTCTGATTTTTAAAAGTGCAGGCTCTGTGGTTGTGGGAAAGCAGAAAATAATACATAGTGCATCAGTTTGTGGCATGTGGTGTGCTGTTATAGGCTGTTATATAGCTACAGCAGTGGAGAAGTAAGCAGGTGCAGTGGTGATCAGAGGGGAGCACAAATGCAATGGCAGTAACTGGACAAGTATGTGGGTGCAGTGGCAGCCAGTGGAGAAATGCATGGTTAATGCAGCAGTGAATGAACTGGGTGGGTTCAGTGGCAATCTGTGGAGAAGTTAATCTCTGAAGTAGCAGTCAGTAAAGAAGTATACTCCATGTATATATATTTTTTGTATGCATACCTATACACGGTGTGGCATTGTGTGGCAATACCAGGGTATAATGTGGCATCATAATCACCCAGGACTCTAAGCCAGAGGTGCTGAGTGGCTCCAGGAAGCACATACTTTTTCCAGGAAAGAGCTGGCTTTTCAGTTCTTTCTAGGTTTTCTGGATTATAGTTGGGATCCTGGAGCCAAAAGATTTCAAAAACAATTAAGAGGGATGACATCTCAATTTCTGGGTCTGGGCTTTAGTAGTGACCAGCACCCAATGATTGTGCCCCTGTGAACAACCCTTATGAAAAGGCTGCTGGCTAGTGTTCAGGGTTCCACCTGGGAGACAGGAAAACTCCATTCAGGAGTCAAAGTGGAGTCCAGTTCAGCAGGGATCTGCGGGCTGTATACCAAGTGTACAGGTTGGCACAGTTCTGAGGCTGCCTGGAAGAAACAGACAGTGGCTCAAGGATTGAAGACGGAGCAGCAGTTCTGCCAGAGAAAAGCCAAGAGGCTGGATGAGCATATGTGGTGTATTTTTGTAAAGAGACGCTGAACAACCCCTGCAAGGGCAACTGTCTTGTTATTTGTGAATTTTCTTTTTTAATAAAAGTGGGCAATAAACCTTTAAAAGAGGATGTGTTCTTAAAACTCTACTGTTTGAAGCTAAATCTCAATGTATATGTTATGTTGCTGAGGACACCCAGTAATTAACACATTGTGCTTTTTTCATTATTGTTACGATGCATGTCAAGCATATAAAGTTTTTGCATGAGTGTGACAGCAATATGTTGTATTTACCTGTTAGCTAATAGGAATTCTGCTACCACTTTCACTTATACAGCCAGTCAAGCAAGAGACCTCTTATCAAAGATGCTTGTCATAGATCCTGCTAAGAGAATATCAGTTGATGAGGCACTACAGCACCCTTACATAAATGTATGGTATGACCCTGCGGAGGTGGAGGCGGTAAGACATTTTATTCTTCTTTTTTGCCAAGACATAACAGATGAAAAGAAATATGGCTTTTGATGAAACTCTCCAAAGGGAACAATGACACATATAAGTTGTCTTATTGGTAGCTTATATAACGTTGCTTAAAGAAAAACTCTTCAATAAACTGTGGAAGTGTTGGAACTTTTTTATTGCTCTTTGCTTCCTCATTGTAAATATTTGCTTTCCCTTCCTGACATGACAGGAAGTGAGAGAAAATCTTGTTCAAGTAAGGTGGAATTTCACTTTTGACAATTGCCACTGTAGTAGGTGTTACCATTAATAGATCATTAGTAGATTTCCCCCTCCCTCTTGTTTAGGTGTCATCTGTCAATGAAGTGATTTCTGTTTTGATGACATTTGTCACTTGGATAGGAATTGAGGATGAGTCTTCTGAACAAAGTCACAGACCAGAAAGAGGTGCCCACCCTTCCTCTAAATTGTGCTACATTTTAAAGGGCAGCTCCATTTTTTTGAAAACTTTGGTACTGAAAGACACGACAGTAAAATTATAAATAATATTTATTTCCCTGTTTCATGGGACAGGCTACTGATTCATTGTGTCTTAAAGGGAATAACCCAGTTGTGTGTAATTTTTGGGGATGGCTTACTAAAGCTAAGGTATTTTAAAATCCTATTAATCTGATTGGATAACCAAAGTGAATAAAGGAGAGGATAAGAGATCAGCTTGTAGTAAATCAGCTAGGAGGAGTTTACAAAAAGGTAACCTCTCTGAGAAGAAACTGCATTCACTGTCACTGAGCCATCATAAGACTATTTCCATAGTCTTACCCACCTTAGTGCTGCCTACCTGGTCTGACACCTACCTCTGCCCCCCATTCCAGTGATCTTCACTGGGAGGCCCTGTCTGAACACCCATGGTTTTTCTTCAGAAAACCAATTTCTGGTACCTGGGAATGGAGAAGCATGTGAATCTCTTAGGGGGGTTATTCACACAGCTGCTGAGGGCAGCTGTGTGAATAACCGACCCGAAGTGAAGTGAGCCGAACGCTGTTCGGCTATTCACTTCAGGCTTGTACGGCTGATTTCAGTCATGCACCGACTGAAATCAGCCGTACATCGGCTGCTGCGGCTGGCTTCGGGTCGGCCGAACAT